CATCCCCTTAAGAGGTTGCTTGAGAGAGTCTAAAAAGCAAATTTGCTTTAAATAAATTTCTCTTTCATAAATTTAAAAATTTGTTGGAGGAATTAGTTTTTAATTTTAAAAGTAGTTTTTTAACAAGTTCTAAAAAAAACTTAGATGTGTAATTTTCTTAAAACTTATTAATAAGGTGCTTTAAAAGCCAATATTCCATTTTTTTTTTAACAAAATTTTAAATTTCCCGAGATAAAAAAATTTACTTAAAACAAATTTACGTTTAAAGCCCTGCCAAACAGCCTCTAAATCTATGTACCAAAAGGAATCATATGATACGTTTAGTTTTTCTCCTCTTGCAAAGGAACTGAAAGTTGCCTGAACAATTAAGGAAACAAAGTGCATCATTGGATAGTAGTGAATACTATTGCATAAAATGGAAAGTCCTGTCCTTGGCATGTGGCATTGGAGACTTTGCCACCAAAACTTGAGGAAATAAAATGGATTATTGGATACAACATTTCATAATTGAGCACATGGAAAGTGGGAACGATCGACAATTACGACCAAAAATAAGGTGGGGAAAAAAAGAAGAGAAAATTCAACTTTTGGTGAAGGTTTACTAGGCAGAAAAGTATGTAACAAAATTACGTAAGACGACTAGAACTAGTGGTCCCTAATGTGAAAGTGGTCCAGAAAAAATTATTTTTTATAGTCGGAAATTAAGGGGAAACATCGTGCCCACGAGATATGTTTCATGTTTTTCATTACTTCCAAATCCCCCTTTTGAATTTCTAGCACATGGGCGGCATATGTATACTTTTTCCTTATAAAGTAGTGTAAAACCTAACAATAATATGCTCTAGAATGCTTATATATTTTAATTAAGGAATTCATTACTAATTAGTGCTTTCCATTAATCTATAGTTACCTTTAGAGTTGAGTGGCATATGCCTTATATAAAAACCTGAATTGAGTTAGACTTTGAAAAAAAAAAAGAAAAAAAAAAAGGGGGGAACTAAGTCTACTCTTGATTATCTTTAATTTTTTTTTGGTACATGATTATCTTTAATTGGATTGCTAGGTCCAATTAAAAGTTTAAAAAGTCAGATGACATGTGTTAAGATAAAAAAAAAATTCAGAAGTATTTACTTTTTAAAAATGATTCACACAATTAATTAATTAAATGGACTCTTTTTACTTTTGTGGGAGATATGATTTGGTTTAGGCAATAATAGAGTTACAATATTATATAAGATAATAAGTTTATAATTATAATGCATTATTAAATAGGTAAATGTATATAATATTAAAAGGAAAACTTTAAATGAAAGAGTCAATTATATTATTTTTTATTTGGTTTAATATACATTTATTAATGGTAAATGATTTTTGTACAACCTTTTTATCTCACTTTTTTGTATAACTTGATGTGACATTTAAATGATTAATTCTTTTAATTCATATGGGATCCATAATATTCAATGCATCAACTCATTTAATGATATGTAAAAGTTGTATCAAAGTGTGATATAAAAAAGTTGTTCCTATAACACCATCCTTTACTAATTTAATGTCATATGATTATTGTAAGAAAATATTATGTATGTATTTACCGATTTAATTTCATATAATAATATATTATAATTATGAA